CCTTCCCCCAGCCTTAATTTAGTCTATATGTTGTATTTGAGAACCTGCATGTCCACTGGGTCTATATGCAGATAGCCAGTGCTCTATTCAACAGCTTTTCCTTCATGCAAGTATGTTCAAACTAAGACCAATAACATGAGTTCTTTGTGTTTTTGTTTGTAATAAAGCATTCACAAATTCCCTGTACAAAAGCTGTGTTTTGCTAACTCATCAGACGTGCCACACTGCAAAAAAGGTAGCCCCAAACAGGAGGGGAGATGTATTGTGTTCCACTTTCCTTTAAAAAATCACACTAAGATTACACCTGGAGAGCCCTTTTCTTCCTGGTATTGTTTTCACTGTGGCTTATGGGAGATTTGTCATTGACTTTCATAGAATCACACCATCATCTTTAATCCAGCGCCTTGCTCTTTAATCCACTTGTTTACAAAAGGGAACCTTTTGCCAGTCAACTACTTCACGTAAGACAAAAGCAGTGAGGGAAGAAAAACTTTCATGCTCAACTACTAGAACAGGAATTTAGTAACAGCAAAGAGTCATTAGTAAGTGAAGTAATTCTGCTCGCAGTAAAACACAGTCATCTACACAGAAGCATGACACTAATTAAAAATGATCAAGCTGGGATGTACAGTACAAAAAATACAAGCAGCTCATAAAGTCAAATGTCTTCTCCAGGAAAAAATTTACAGATGGTTAAAGTAATTGGAAAAAACTTTGAGGGAAATACTGATCAGCAGTCCCATATTAGTTAATAATACATACTGTATTAAAAAACAATAAGCGTGCCAGGTCAGAGCTGTCCCTACTGAAGCCCCCACTTTGGATCCTGCACTAACGAGAAGGCACCTCTGGTGCCCCAATGAAAAGGAGCCACCAGAACAGCTACATATCTCTTTCTGCTAAATTGTCATGCCTGGAAAACAGTATTGTACCCCTGCTAAAACCACACACATACACCTCTTCCCCCACAGAAGCTACCTGGTTAGCTCTTCCCACTGGCTGTGGTGTTCAAGGGCGATAAAGCTCCTAACAGCAAGATGCTGCGTGCGACGGCTCAAGCCCAAAAGTCTTGAAGAAACTCCAAGGTCACACACTGTCCTAGAGACAGGAAAGAAAGGTGAAAACGCCCCACAATGTCAGAGCACGGCCAGGGAATTCACTCACCATGGCTCTACCAGCGAGGCAGCCAGAGGGGAAGGTGCTCGGCGGCAAACTCAGGCATCCTCCTCTTGCTGCTCTGCGCAGGGCACGGGGCAGACACTGCTCTTATCATTACCATTTCGAAGGGGCAGTTTCATTTCTGTCCAATTCCTGTTCGTCAGTGCCCTCTTGCTGAGACAGCTGAATGCCTTTGACTGACTGAAAGACTCTGCTGATGTTGCAGCTGTAAAATCCAAATGTAATGGAAGTTAGTAAAGCCTGAGGTTGGCAGTGGGTACGGCAAAGCAAAACACTTAGAACCAGCTCATTTTGCCAGAAGAATTAAGAGCATTAGCAGTACAAGTGTGAAAAAGCCCTTCCGGAGTTTCTAATGCACCACATAGGCATTTCCAACCCATCTGGGAGGGTATCTGCAGTCCAGATTTAAACCTCATTTGGAAATCACGCCTGTCCTATCTTATAAAGCAAACCAAAGCTGTATAGCCTACCGAGTATTAAAATGTGTACTTCACAGTCTGAGCTTTTACGCACTCTACTTTTCATTCCTAGTGCTTCTCGATTATATGAATTAATGAACGCTGGACTTTACTGTAGTAATCAAGGAATATGACCCTGCAATTATAGTACTCCAGTATTGTTTAAAAAAAGTGTCAGAAAAAAAATGCAGGCCTAAGCATAGGCCAGGCTTGAGTCCTAATCCTGCCTTTGCAGCTCAATAATGTGGGTTTGCATGAGGCTGGGGATTTCTGTGCCTCATTTTCTGCATCAGAAGGATATGACTACTTACCTACTTGATGGAGTCAGAAATGCTTATGAATTTATAGTCCCATATGTCTTTTGCAAGTTTTTCAGTGATTCTAGAGATGAAAAGTAAATTTTTCCACTAGATCTCCTAACCACATGAGTATATTTTATTGCAAAGTTGAAGGTTTTCATTTTCAGATTCATCCAAGTGTAAAATAACTATACATTTGGAAAAAATCAAAACAATGTACTTAATTTGTTCACAGTCAGCTTTGGTTAGTGGATTATTCATAAAAGCCTAGAATTGGATCCTACTATTACAGTGGGATAGGCAAAAGGCTGTTGGAAACACAGTCTTTTGTATCCTAGACAAAGACAACAAACCTTTTGTCCATCAGACCTGGCTCTTTTGATTCACTAATTTTAAAGGACACAGTGACTCTCAGGAAAGCATGGTCATTCTGCTCCGGAGAAAGAAGCTGCAGTGTGATAGGAAAGGACAAAATCGTTAATATCAGACCCCTCCTGGAAATGAAATGCCTGCTCCGCAGCATGAGCATTAAAATAAAATAACGTGTACAATTCTAACCCCAGTGAAGTCAATGGTTAAACTCAACAGAGCTAGGCTTTTACTCAGCATGTTTGAATGAGTTATTAAACGAACTTTAGTTGTCCCTAAAAATAAATGTACTGTGTGGATCTAAGCGCAGCTGATGAATAAGAAACCTCGGGAATCTAGCAAATACAGTAGTTACGGCTAAAACCAGAGACAGCACAGAAGGTTGCAGAAGAGAGTAGCTATTAATGGCCACCTGAGCCTTAGGTTGAATCTCAAGGTCTCTCATGCCATCTACTGGCCTTTTTTTTTTACTAACAATGTTTTAAATCTTTTTCCTCAAGGTTTATTTATAGGTCTGTTACATTCCAGGCAGTTTTATATAAATTCTAATCAAGGTTTGGGGTGGTTTTTTTTGCCTTCTAACCTACACACTTGATTACTATGTGTTTTTTTCCTGTAAGTACATTACAGTTCTATACCTTTCTGAACACCATTTCACATTGCCTCTGGAGGAAAAAGACATTGCCTAAGACATTCTCATTTCTGTTATTGCTGGATAGGCAGTAATTACATGGCAAGCAGGTCTGTGAGAACAGTCTACTAAGAAAATCCAAAGCTGTTCAAAAACAGTACTTATGGTTCTTCCTCAATCAGTGTGAGAAGGTTATTATTTTGGTACCCAAAAATGCTTCAATGTACTGAAAAAACTTGGTTTTCCTGCTTTTTTCCCCAATGCAGTTCACTTAGGTGTAACTCACAGCAAATGCTTATATGTCCTAATATTATTGAGTTTGCTTTCAGATGGGTTTTGGGAAGCAGGAATTACATATGTGTACAGATAGACCTGATCACAGCACTTCCCTTCATGATCTGTAGCCTCTTCCTGATGTCCCAGTTTCCCTTCTCTATTTATCTGTGTCCACTGGCCTCTTCAGCTTCTCACAGCAGGACAAGCATGGGCACCCCAGCATACCTTCACCCAGCTCCCAGGAGGGAGCCGGCAGCCCTGCAACTGAGCACCATGCCCCATCTAGAAGCTATGTAAGCAGCTTCAAAACTCGCATTGCACCCCATGTTAAAACATCAGCCTGCTGAAGCTTTTGGAGCTTTGC